ATGGCCAGCAGCAGCCGCTGCACGTGCTCCTGCGGGCAGAGAGGGGGGTGACCACGGGTCATCAGCACGTTCCTTAAATCAGCAGAAAACCAAGCCCGACATCCCTTCCTCCACAAGCAAGGAGCTCAGAGCAAGTGCACGCCCAGGGCCGCCTTCTGGGCCCAGAGCGATTCCAGCACCAATGACGACGATGACGAGGGCTACAAGGGGGCGAAAGCCGTCAGGTTCAGACTCCACTTGGAGGCGGCGGGGGCTGGGGGCAGGCAGGGCGGGCAGCTGCTGCCGAGGGGGCATCACTCAGACACCTGGTCATTGGAGAGGCCACGGGCTGCGGCCCAGGTGCCCATTCTCGGACGACCTGCCTTGTCAGAGAGGGATTTTAAAGAAACTGGGAAAGTGGGGGGACTGGGCAGCCCTCGGAACCCCCAGTGGTACATTTACTTCCCACCAGTTCTGACAGCTACTGAGCAGCAGGGGGTTTGTTTTAAATATGTTTTTATTGATCTCAGAGAGGAAAGGAGAGAGAAACATCCAGGATGAGAGAGAATCATGGATCGGCTGCCTCCTGCACACCCCCGACTGGGGATCAAGCCCGCAATCCAGGCCTGCGCCCTGACCGGGAATTGAACAGTGACCTCCTGGTTCCTAGGTCAATGCTCAACCCCTGAGCCATGCCAGCCGGACTGTGGCAGGGAGTCTGGATGGTACGGCCTGTCCAGCGCCCGCAGCACCGTGTCCAGCAGGCCGCATCCTTCTGTGGAACAGGAACATGTTGATGAACTCGATGAGGATGCTGGGGGCCGCCCGGGAGGTCTCCGCCGAGTAGACCAGCCACTTGTAGATGATCATGAAGATGAGGTACCCGAACATGCAGAGCAGGAAGAGCAGCTCGGGGACCGACACCAGGTAGATGTTGAACTTCTTCCTGAAATGCCTGGAGGAGGGCGGTCGGCCCGGACAGGGCCGCGCTGAGGCAGTCACTCCTGTGACGAGGCCTCTCAGCACGGCTCCCGCCCGACACGCTGTTAGGGCTCCAGGGAGAGAACCGTGAGGACGCAACACGACGCGCGCCCACAGACCCAGTCGGGGAAGGCACACCCTCTCACTCCTAGACACCAGCTCGTGACAACAAAAGGCTGTCTCGCCCGCCGGTGGCTCGGTGGGTTGGAGCATCGCCCGCACACCAAAAAGCCTGCAGGTTCGATGCCGGTCAGGGCGCATACCCAGGTTGCAGGTCCCATTTCTGGTGGGGCAGGTACATGAGGCCACCAATCGATGCTTCTCTCTCTCTCATCAATAAAGATATCCTCCAGTGAGGACTAACAAATAATTTTTAAAATTTTTCTAATGCATAAAAAAGTGAGAAGTCAATCCTAGAGATGAATATATAATTGCCTTGCTTCCCGGCCTCCTCCCTGCTCATTCCCTAGAGCCAAAAATATGCCTGGCACAACTCTGTGCTCCATAAACATCTGCTGAGCGAACGAGCTAATGAAACTGTCAAAAACCGTATCATCGAAACAATCACTCACACACTCAGCCACCACATCGGCTGCCTCTTACCTACCGTCTACCATCAAGAGGCAAAGAAGTACCCAACTTGGCTTAGAAAGACAGCTTTTGAAAAACCTGTACTTACAAGTGGTTAAATATTCCCAGAACGACTCCAAAAGTCATGTGGATAATTCCTAAAATCACAGACATTTTCATTTTGAAAGAGTTCAGGAAAGTGAGGCGATTTGTGGCCAAGTTCCAAATCTAAAGACAGAACAAACCAACAGAGAAGTCGTTAGCGTCCTCCCTCTGCCGCGGTGACAGTGGAGAGGCCGCCATCTGCATGGGAAGCAGCGTTCCCTTTCCTCCTGAAGCTCCACCCGAGAACGCTGTCCCCTTAGCCCAGGGCCGGAGTGACGCAGTCTGAACGTAAAGGCCCAAGAATGCCCGCGAGCCTGTGCGTTTGGGGCCAGAGCCCAGGAAGTGAAAGGAGAGGAAGGGCCCCTCGGGCTCAGCGGAAGGGGCGCCCATCCCCTCCGGGGAGAGCAGGAGAGTGCTGGCGGGGCCCTGACCCTGGGCAGGGACAGGCAGGGCTGTGTGTTACCTTCACATACAAATATTGCGGATTAATAACAACAAGAATTTTTTATTAAACCACGTGCAGGCAGGCGGTTGCTGGAAATATCAGGGCACCGTCCTGTAATGTGACTAACCCTATGTGCACACCTGAACCTACTGCAAAGCGACAGACTGGAAACCGTAAACAAAAAATAACGTGAGCCGAAGCCGGTTTGGCTCAGTGGATAGAGCGTCGGCTTGCGGACTGGGGGGTCCCGGGTTCGATTCCGGTCAGGGGCATGTGCCTGGGTTGCGGGCGCATCCCCGGTGGGGGATGTGCAGGAGGCGGCTGATCGATGTTTCTCTCCCATCGATGTTTCTGGCTCTCTATCTCTCTCTCTTCCTCTCTGTAAAAAATC